GAGCACGGGGATGAAGAAGGGGAGAATTTCTGAGACTGGTGAGTTTAGGGTTAACTTAAGAGCAGATGGTACAAGCACGGTTACCCGCACCCACATCAACGTGAGCTTCACCAAGACTGCTCCTCGCTTCCTTCGACCATTATGTCTGTTCCTGCATCACCACTCAGCGGTTACCATCACCTCATCCTCTCAAGTCCAGAAAATGCTAATTATGGTAGAAAAGGTGTCGCTTACCTGACAGCAGGGTAGGGAACCTGATGAACACCCAGACCTAGGGCATGGCCTGGCCTGCTTCCCTGGAGTGCGCCACCTGCTTCTCCACCCTTTGAGCAGCTCAAGGGTCTTGTCATCAGCACCCTTCCCTGGTTAGCGCAACTGCCACAGTCGCTCAGGATTCCAGCCCTGAAGCTAGCTTCTGTTTGAAGTTAGAACAACTTGTCCCCAAGTATCCTGTGTTGATTTTCAGCCCTGGTCATGTAGCAAGGCCCTCAAACCAGCTGTATGTCCCCAGTGGAGTAGCCGCCCTGCTGCATTCATCCCTGGACCCTTACTGTCACCTCACTCCTCAAGTGGACTTGCTACGATTCTGCTAGGCAGCCTTGGGAAACATGGGTAAAGAAGCACCAGTCACATAACTGATCTGGACACGTCAAAAACACACTCTTGGCTATATCTCTACCAAAAGTTTCTTACTACTGCTTTTGGATTGGTCCCTACCATCCCCTGTTTCACCAGGGAAATTTCTTCCACCACTTCTGCCTCTGTTTTCCGTCTTCTACTTTTTTTTTTTTTAACCACCTACACCTTCCTGCACCGTGTAGAAGCAATGAGCTTTAACCCCATGTAACCCTGTCTTGCTCAACCCCCAAAAAATATCCTTGCACAGTGTTTCTGTTCACATGAGGTGTCTATTCCCATTAGGTAAGTGAGCATTACCGTACTTGATATCTTAACTTTCCATTTGGGAGGGATCTAAAGTATTTCCTGTTACTAAGTCAGCAAACCCACTTAGGATCTGGCTTTCTTCAAACACAAATGTTTACGGAGTACCTGGTACATCAAGGCCAGTGCTGTGTGCTTTGAACATGTTCAATAAATATTTGCTATTTTGATGTGGTTTCCCTGAAACCAAAACTGAACTTTCTGGCAGTTTTGAGGATTTAGACAAATTGCAATGAGAAACTTTGAGAGTCTTAGCTAAAAGCTGCCAAATAATAATGCAGGATTCTATTTTTATAAACTTCATTTCACCTTAATTTAATTGTCATAACCACTGGAAACAGGAGATTGGAGACTGTTTTTGTGCTTTGATGGTTTGCCAAATTTCCACAGAAGGTTAAGCCTTGAGTTACTCAGTAACCGCAGCAGGAGCTGGGCCCCGCTGTTTGACCCTTGCCAAGGTCTTCCTCTTGGGTCCAAAGGAAAGAAGAGCCCCAGGACAACAGGGATTGGCGGAGGGCCAGCTAAATTACCTGCTGGTAGGAGTTACTATGAGACTAGGACAAGGTTCTGGGAGGAGGAGTTTTATTACTGACCTGAAGGAAGTACTACGAATGAGGGTGCTCAAATGCCCCGTTACTTCCAGAGCTCACAACCTACCTCCTCTCATACAGCAAGGCGCAGTGGGACTCTACCAGCTCCTTCCAGGCTTGTTTTCATGCAGAAGGGGAAAATGCCACAGAAAAAACAATGTTTACCTGATAGAATTTCTTAGGAAATCTGCCTCTAGTTCCAGAAATGATTCCATGAAGAACTTAGAGCAATAGACACACACAAACCATCACTAAAACACTCCCCAGAAGAACACTGATGGTGCCAACGTTGTGCAGCAGGTAAAGCCAGTCTGTGACATCAGCAGTCCTTACGGGTGCCAGCTGGAGGCCTGGCTGCCCCGAATCCGATCCGGTCCTGCTCACGTGCCTGTGAAGGCAGCAGAGGATGGCTGTTAGGGCTCCTGACACCTACGTGGGACACCACGATGGAGCTCCTGGCTCGTACTTTGGCCTGGCCCAACACTGGCCATTGCGGCCATTTGGGGAGTTCCCCAGGGGATGGGAAAATCTCTGTTTCTTCCTCTCTCTGTAACTCTGCCTTTCAAATAGATATTTTTAAAAATAGCATGTGTGTGTGTGTGTGTGTGTGTATGTGTATACAGTCACAAATTAATTTGCCCAACACAGATTCTTTTCCTAATCCAATCAAATATGAACCAAGGGGGCCTGGCGCTGTCACACAGCGGGTGAAGTCCCCTCCTATGGCAACAGCAGCCCATATGAGCACTGGTTCAAGTCCCGGCTGCTCTACTTCTGGTACAGCTCCCTGCTAACGCTCCTGGGAAAGCAGCAGAGGGCCTGGAAAAGCTCCTGGCTCCTGCCTTCAGCCTGGCCCAGCCCCAGCTGTTTCAAGCATCTGGGGAGTAAACCAGCGGATGGAAGATCTTTCTCTCTGTAACTCTGACTTTCAAATAAATACTAAAAAAAATTTTTTTGTTTGTTTTTGTTATAAATCAATGGCTCCCAAAGTATCTGCCAGGGACCCTGGGAGAGCTCAAGAAACCTTCAGTAAAAACTGGAAACTATTTTGAAGGGCGGGCATGGGGCCATCATTGTGGCACAGCCGTTAGGCCTCTACCTGAGACCCCAGCCTCCCACGTGAGTGCCATTTTGAGTCCCTGCTGACGTGCCTGGGAAAGCAGTGGGAGACGGCTCCAGCGCTTGGATGGAGTTCCTGGCTCCTGTGTCCAACTTGGCCCAGCCCCACCTATTGAGAGCATTTGCGGAATGAACCAGTAGATGAAAGATCTCTATGCCTCTCCACCCCTGCAACTGCCTTTCAAGTAAATAAAAAAGACATTAACGGGCTGGCATTCAGCCTCGTGGCTAAGACTCCCCACACTTTGTAGCACATCTGGAGACCTGGGTTTGGTTCCCAGCTCTTCTTCCTGCTATCAGAGACACTCGGAGAGGGAAGAGGGGAGCAGTGGTGAGGGCTCGAGCATGCGGGTTCCTGCCATCCATGTGGGAGATCCAGATTGAGTTACTGGCTCCTGGCTTTGGTCCATTTGGAAAGTGAACCAGTGGATGCAGCTTGCTCCCTCCCTCTCAATTTTTTTCAAAACCTTTCATTTTAATTTTTTTTAAAGATTTATGTATTTACTTGAAAGACAGAGTTACACACACACACACACACAGAGAGAGAGAGAGAGGGAGGGAGGGAGGGGGAGAGAGGTCTTCTACTGCTTTCCCAGGCCATAGCAGAGAGCTGGATCGGAAGAGGAGCAGCCGGGACTAGAACCAGCGCCCATATGGGATGCCAGAGCCCCAGGTCAGGGCGTCAACCCACTGAGCCACAGCACCGGCCCAATTAATTCTTTATTTTTAAGATTTATTTATTTGAAAGGCAGAGTTACAGGAAGGATATATCTACGATCTACTCGTTCATTCTGCAAATGGCTGCAACAGCCAAGAGCCTGGAATTCCATCTGGGAGCTCCCATGTGGGTGGCAGAGGCCCAAGCACTGAAGCCATCTTCCCAGGAATAGTAGCAGGGAGCTGGATCAGAGTGGAGCAACTAGGACTCTAACTGGCACTAATATGTCACAAGTGGTGGCTTAACCTGCTATACCACAATGGCAGTCCCAAAACTATTTTAATTGTACTAATGATATTTAAATGTTGTTTGACAAGACTATATAAATGGATTTTGATACCAAGAAGTTTGAAACTACAGCTATAAAAACAAAGGGATGATTGGGAAAATTAGAATAAGGTTCATAGATTTGAAAATAGTATTATATTTTAAGGCCGGCGCCGCAGCTCACTAGGCTAATCCTCCACCTAGCGGCACCGGCACACCGGGTTCTAGTCCCGGTCGGGGCGCCGGATTCTGTCCTGGTTGCCCCTCTTCCAGGCCAGCTCTCTGCTGTGGCCCGGGAGGGCAGTGGAGGATGGCCCAAGTGCTTGGGCCCTGCACCCCATGGGAGACCAGGAGAAGTACCTGGTTCCTGCCATCGAATCAGCGCGGTGCGCCGGCCCCGGCAGCCATTGGAGGGTGAACCAACGGCAAAAGGAAGACCTTTCTCTCTGTCTCTCTCTCTCTCTCTCTCACTGTCCACTCTGCCTGTCAAAAAATAATAAAAAAAGACTGAAGGGTACGGTAGCGCTCTTTTTTTTTTTTTTAAAGAAAATAGTATTATATTTTAAAACAATGTCAATGTCAATTTCCATTCTTTGATCACTGTATTGGAACCATACAAGGGACTGTTTTTAACTTAACATTATATAGGGATAAAGGGGCATTATCTTTGCAACTTATTTTCAAACAGTGTGGAAAAACAACTGTATTTGTATATATACAAGAGTGCTTCAAAAATTCCATGGAAAATGGAAGTAAAAGATAAGTTTATTTTGGTTAAAATCTTGGAGCATCATTCCTCGGTAGAAACACGCTTGGCACGCACCTTGGGGCCCTTGCTCCTGTGTCTGCCTCCCATCACTTCAGGGCTGAGTGGGGAATGGGGCCATCTGTGAGCCACAGGTGTGACCGTGGTGGGTGTTGAGTGGGGAATGGGGCCATCTGTGAGCCACAGGTGTGACCTTGGTGGGTGTTGGTCTGGTCTAGGGACACCTTGGCTCTCAGAACCTGAAGGTAGCAGCTTGTTCGTCTTTTTCCCCTTTGGTTAAGTATGATGGTCTCAGTACCTCTTCTCTCCTCTCTCACTGGCTCACTCTCCATAAGGAAAACTGAAACCGGGGCAGGTGCTTTGCCTAGCAGTTAGGACGCTGGTTGCAATGACTACATCCCATATCAGTGCACCCAGCTCTGGCTCTCAGCTCTGCCTTTCTGCTAATGCAGACCCCGGGAGGCAGCAGCGATTGGGTTCAGCTGCCCACATGGGAGACCTAGACAGTATTCTCAATTCTGTTTTGGCCATGGATTTTGTGGGCACTTGAGAAATGAAAGAGTGGATAGGATCTCGCTCTCTCTGTCTCTCAAATCAATACAATTAAGAAAAATTTATTTATTTCAAAGAGTTACACAGGTGTGTGTGTTTGGGGGGGTGTCTCCCCTCTGCTGGCTCACGCTCCAGATTCAGAGCTGAGCTGAAGCCAGGAGCCAGGAGCCAGTAGTGGTCTCCCACGCGGGTGCAGGGGCCCAAGCACTTGGGCCATCTTCCACTGCTTTCCCAGGCCATAGCAGAGCGCTGGATCGGAAGTGGAGCAGCCGGGACTCGAACTGGTGCCCATATGGGATGCTGGCACTGCAGGCTGCGGTAATCCCGCGGTCAAACTTCTCCACAGGCAGGTATTTTCTGACCAAGCGTTAATTCCCGAGGATGTTCTCCGTCTCCTTGTCTATAAAGGCGGGAGGAGAGCGGGGTTGCGCAGGCAGAGATGGGCCCCACGTCCTAGGCCGGGCTAGTCCGGGCCTACCCCAACTTCTCGGCCAAGTAAACAGCACTGGGCGCTGCACTTTGCTTAACCCTGGGAACTGGTCATCAGCCTTTGACCTCAGCCCTCCCCTCCTGGCCCGCCCCTCCCCCCTCCCGGCCTCTGGAACCTCAGGGAGCTTTAGAGCAAAGAACCAGTTTTCAGAGAGTGCCTCAGCGACACTGTCTCCACCTGCGCAGCCCGGGACGCGTGGCGACCATGTATTCCAGCGGGGCAGGAACCCGAGCGGCTGCTAAGAGGTAAGAGGGCGAGGCTTCCCTCGGCCTGCGGCCCTCACACGGAGGCTGACCCCGGCCCCTCTCGCTGGGGCTCGCCCTCCAAGAGTGGTCGGAAGCCGGTTCAAGGCCCCCTGCCGCCTCCCCGCCCCTCCCTTAGCCACACCTTAGGCTCTCGGCCGGGCCTTGAGAGGGCCTCTTCCTTCCCGTGAAGATGCCGTGCAGAGCATGCTTGGTCCGCCCCCTGGGGGATTCCAGGGCCTGCCTGCCTTCCAACGGGAGGGCGGCGAGGGCGAGTTGAACACGCGAGGGCCTCCTAACTCCCTTTGCTCCTCCTTCCGCCTGCTTGCCCCCTGCCCAAGATCCCAGTGACCTTCGACAAGAGGGCCAAGCCGGGTGCCCTCTCCGCCGTGGGACTCCTCCCTCCCCTGTCTTGGTCTGGTTTCCTGAGACGTTGAAGTGAAACGTCAGCTCCAGCAGCTTGGTTTCTCTTGGTCCTGTTTTTTTTTTTTTTTTTTTTTTTTTTTTGACAGGCAGAGTGGACAGTGAGAGAGAGAGAGAGAGAGACAGAGAGAAAGGTCTTCCTTTGCTGTTGGTTCACCCTCCAATGGCCGCCGCAGCCAGCACACCACGCTGATCTGAAGCCAGGAGCCAGGTGCTTCTCCTGGTCTCCCATGGGGTGCAGGGCCCAAGCACTTGGGCCATCCTCCACTGCACTCCCTGGCCACAGCAGAGAGCTGGCCTGGAAGAGGGGCAACCGGGACAGAATCCGGTGCCCTGACCGGAACTAGAACCTGGTGTGCCGGCGCCACAAGGCGGAGGATTAGCCTAGTGAGCCGTGGCGCCGGCCTTCTCTTGGTCTTTAACAGAGCTCCCGGGTGCCCCCCCCCCCATTTCTAATGTAGCTTAAGACAAAACGAGAAACAAAACACACTCAGGGGAGGCAGGGAAGGGTCCTCCCACTCTCTCGCTGCTTCCTGCTGCCTACCACCCTGCACCTGCTATGAGGCGCGGGGCTGGCCTCGGACCCTGCCGGGAGAAAGCCCCCTGACTGCACCCAGGCTCCAGGTGGCCCCACGCCCGCCCAGGAGACGCTTCAGTGAGTCCTGTCTGCGCTGCGTGCCTTTTTCTTGTTTTATTTATTTGCTTGTTTGAAAGGCAGAGAGAGAGATTTTCCAGATTCAGTCCTCAAATGCCCCAGGGACCCACACCAGCGGGAGGAAGCTCCCAGCCCACGTGTTTTCTACCAGAGACTGTCTCTTGGTGTGCTTTACTGAGTCCTACTTCTTAACTGCTAGTCTCACTAGCTCATTTTTTACAAGATGAGTTTCATATTGCTATTGAAAATGAAGCTATTGAAAATTCCAGAAAACAACAAAGGACGAGGTTCTGAACTACGTAGTGGCAGCAACTGGGAAGGAGCAAGCGTGCAGTGAGTGGCACCTGGGGTCAATCAGGTGAGAAGGCCAGGGTCCAGGAGGGTCCCATGCCTGAGCTGGAGCGTGTGAAGGAGAAGCAGGTGGGTGCGAGAGAAACACGCCTTCTGCAGGCCCCCAGGGCAAGTCTCCAGCAACTGTGGGGAGCTCTGCAGGAGATCAGGGCTGGAGCCAGGGATTGGGTGCCTTCAACACACAGATGCTCCTGCCCCTTTCCTCCTTACCCCTCCTATTGCTGAAATCTCTTGGCTGCTTCGATCAAATTTCTTCCTGTCCTTTAAGATCCAGCTAAATTCCATTATTGATGAGTGGGGCCTTCCCTAAACAGCTTCTGTAAGTGGCTCCCCCTACTGCCCTAACTCTTTTTTTTTTTTTTTTTTTTGGACAGGCAGAGTGGACAGAGAGAAAGGTGTCTTCCTTTTCTATTAGTTCACCCCCCAATGGCCACTGCGGCCAGCGCACCCTGCTGATCCAAAGCCAGGAGCCAGGTGCTTCTCCTGGTCTCCCATGGGGTGCAGGGCCCAAGCACTTGGGCCATCCTCCACTGCACTCCTGGGCCACAGCAGAGAGCCGGACTGGAAAAGGAGCAACCGCGACAGAATCCGGCGCTCCAACCAAGACTAGAACCCGGGGTGCCGGTGCCACAGGCAGAGGATTAGCCTAGTGAGCTGCGGTGCCGGCTATCCCTAACTCTTCATTAAGCACTGAAGTTCCCAGCCTATTTTCTCCTGTGTGTTCCCTGTCATAAATGGAAATCTTTGCATTCTTTTTTTTTTTTTTTTAAAGATTTACTTATTTATTTGAAAGGCAGAGTTACAGAGACAGAAGGACAAAGAGGGGCTGGCACTGTGGTGTAGTGGATAAAGCCGCCGCCTACTGTGCTGGCATCTCATATGGGTGCCATCAAGTACTGGCTGCTCCTCTTCCTGTCCAGCTCTCTGCTGTGGCCTGGGAAAGCAGTGGAAGATGGCCCAAGTGCTTGGGCCCTGTACCCACGTGGGAGACCCGGAAGAAGCTCCTGGCTCCTGGCTTTGGATCGGCACAGCTCTGGCCATTGCGGCCATCTGGGGAGTGAACCAGCGGATGGAAGACCTCTCTCTCTGCCTCTGCCTCTCTGTAAATCTGACTTTCAAGTAAACAAATAAAATATTTAAAAAAGAAGAAGGCGGCGGCCATAGAGTGAGTGATAGATCTTCCATCCATAGGTTCACTTTCTAAATGGCCACAATGACCGGCCAAAGCCGGAGCCAGGAGCTTCTTCTGGGTCTTCCACGTGGGTGCAGAGGCCCAAGGACCTGGATCATCTTCCGCTGCTTCCCCAGGCTCATTAGCAGGGAACTGGATAGGAAGTAGAGTAGCCAGGACTTGAACTGTTGCCCATATGGGACATCGGAGCTGCGGGCCATGACTCAACCTGCTGTGCTGCAGTGTCGCTGGCCCCAAGCTTTGCATTCTTAATTTCTCCCAGTGTGGGCCCTTTAGCATTGGTTGATTAAGCTGTGGATTCTATTCCCAACCTGAGTCTATCCAGGCAAGTAGGACTACCCATTTGCAGAGAGTTGTCCTGGCCTCTTTTACTTGGTTCTGAGGCTTTGACCTTCCTCCTGGTCACATCACATGGGCTGGGACCGTGTGCTCTACTGAGGCAAGCCTGTAGCTGACCATTAGATCGGGGGTCCCCCAGCCTAGCCTAATTCAGCATTCTGTCTCCTTGTAGGAAGGTATGTCTTCTCTCCTTGCTGCTCGTTGGCCTCTGGGGCCGTGTGGCTTGTCACGAGAGCCCTGTGGAGGACATCTGCACGGCCAAGCCCCGGGACTTCCCTCTGAACCCCATGTGCATTTACCGTTCCCCAGAGAAGAAGGCAACGGAGGATGAGGGGTCAGAACTGAAGATCCCTGAGGCCACCAATCGTCGGGTCTGGGAACTATCCAAGGCCAATTCCCGCTTCGCCACCATCTTCTATAAGCACCTGGCAGACGCCAAGAAGGACAATGACAACATTTTCCTGTCACCCCTGAGCATCTCTACGGCTTTTGCGATGACCAAGCTAGGTGCCTGTAACGATACCCTCAAGCAGCTGATGGAGGTATCTTCCAAAGCCCTCGGCCGCCTCGTGCTGGGAGCATTTCGGGGCTCCCATAGGTCAATGACTGCTGAACCAAAAGGAGCTCAGTACGGGCTGTGCTTTCCTTTGAATCGTCACTTCACATGATTTCCTTTGAAAAGCTTTTTTTTCTTTTTTTAAATTAGGCAAGGAATGTCTCTTTATAAATCTGAGTGTCCTCTTTTGGGCTATTTTCAAATGGGGGGAGGCCTGTGTCTCTTCAACTTCTTCTTCTTTTTTTTTTTTTTTTTTTTTTTTGACAGGCAGAGTTAGACAGTGAGAGAGAGAGAGACAGAGAGAAAGGTCTTCCTTTGCCGTTGGTTCACCCCCCAAAGGGCCGCTATGGCTGGTGCACCGCGCTGATCCAAAGCCAGGAGCCAGGTGCTTCTCCTGGTCTCCCATGGGGTGCAGGGCCCAAGCACTTGGGCCATCTTCCACTGCACTCCCTGGCCACAGCAGAGAGCTGGCCTGGAAGAGGGGCAACCGGGACAGAATCCGGCGCCCCAACCGGGACTAGAACCGGTGTGCTAGCGCTGCAGGCAGAGGATTAGCCAAGTGAGCCGTGGCACCGGCCTTCTTAAACTTTCTTAATCATTCTTTCATTTCTGCGTTTGTTTATTTGATCATGTATACGTTTGTATTCAGCATCTCTGTGCCAGGCACAGAGCTCGCAGTTGCTGGTTTACTCCTTCCATGCCCACAGTAGCCAGGGCTAGGGCAGGCAAAGCCAGGAGCTGGGAACCCAACTCAGGTTTCTCATGTGGGTGGCAGAAATTCCATTGCTTGGGCCACCACTGCCACCTCCCAGGTCTGCATTAGCAGGAAGTGGATTTCAGAGTGGCCCATCCCCCTCCCTAGGGCGTTTAAAGCTATGATTTCTTTAGTTGCGTGAAAGCTTGGGGTAACTCATTACAGAGGGCTAAAGAGAACAACGAAGTTCATTGGCAATTGGCCACTAGAGGAGGGGTAAACACTCCTAAGAGCCACAGACTTTCGTGTCTTCAATAAGCGCTGTGTCTCATGCTGAAGATTCTTGTTCCTTCTAACTTAGGGGTGGGCATTTGGGGTAGTGGTTAAGACACTGCTTTGGATGCTGCCTCTTTCACTGGAGTGCTTGGGTTCAAGTCCTGGCTCCACGTCCAGTCCTAGCTTCCTGCTGATGTGCACCCTAGGAGACTTCAAGAAAGAAGGTAAGTTACCTGGGTCCCTGCCTCTCACATCGGAGACCGAGACTGACTTCCCAGCTCCTGCTCTGCCTGGCCCAGCCCAAGCTGGTGTGGGCATTTGGGGGTTGAACCAGCCTAGGGAAAAGCTCTCTTTCTGCCTCTGTCTCTCTTTCTTTGCCTTTCAAATAAACAAACATTTAAAGGGTCTACAGACACATAACACAGCCTTTTCTGGGCACTTTCTTGATCCATGAATATATCGGTATTGAGTCTCTGAGCATTTTCATATCCCCTCCAGGGCTCTTTCCCTTTCTAGGAGGAGAACAGAAAGAGAACAGTTTCTAAAGGCAGCATGTCCTTCTAACACAAGGTGCCATGTGTTGGAAAAGTGGGGTAGGACTGGATCTCTCTGATGAAAGAGAAACTTAGCACCAAGCTTTTGGTCGAAAACGGGATTAGAAACAAGAACAAAAGCAGGAAAACCAAAGGCAGAGAGCAAAACCAAAAGGCCTTTAGTAACCTTAGGAGAGAGCAGGGAAGAGGTGGGACGAACAGCCTCACCCATTTTGCCCTATCAGTGGTGACAATGGGTAGGGTAGGAGGCATTTCGGCGTCTGTGGCTATGACTACTACAGATGACCTGTAAGTCCTTTTCAACCTTGAGATTCTTGGATGCTGCGCCTGTTTAACCCCTTGCTGGTGAAATCACTGTTTATGTTTCTCACTCCCATCACCACCAATATCCCAGAACCCCCAAGAGCAGCTGAACCCAGTAGTG